GACGGTGACGGTGACGGTGACGGTGACGGTGACGGTGACGGTGACGGAGACGGTGACGGTAACGGTGACAGTGACAGTGGCAGCGACGGCGCCAGTGACAGTGACGGCGACAGTGACAGTGACAGTGACGGTGATAGCGATAGTAATAGTGAGTGATAGTGATAGTGTTAGTGATAGTGATGGTGACGGCGACAGTGACAGTGACAGTGACAGTGATAGTTATAGTGACAGCGACAGTGACAGTAACAGCAACAGAAACAGTGACCGCGACAGCGACAGTGCCAGTGACAGTGACAGCGACAGTGACAGTGGGAGTGACAGTGACAGTGACGTTGATAGCGATAGTGATAGCAATAATAATAATAATAACGCACATACTCAGCACAGCCCCGCCCTAGGAAAACTTGTGCCTGTTTTGAAGGGTAAGGGTGTGAAATTACAGGCACGTGGGACTTGTCAACTTATGTCTCAGGGTGACATGCAGACAGTGAGACAGTGGCAGTTCCCCTCAGATCTTAGCGATTTAAAACTATGAGTGGCACTGCATGGTTATAGACAGGCGTGTCTCTTACCACCAAGTTCACGATTTGTTTTTCCCGACACTTGGTATCATAAAAAAGTGATTTAGTTACTTTAGGATCAGAGCAACATATGCGGTGTTGTCTTATATAAATTGATATTTATTTAGCTTCTATCATTATCACAAGTTATGTTATCTTCCACGATCTATGGCACGAGACTTTGACAATGTTGTGTACTCATCTCATTGCAGATCGTCCCGCGCGTCTGTAGCCATTGGCCTACGCGGCGACTGCGCGATTGTATAATAATAAAATCGCGCGGCAGAGGCAGAGGAATTTAAATGTTGTTGCTTAGTGAATAGAATTCAGATTCACCTTTAATGTACGTGAAAGCGTGATAACTGGGCGGTCGCCGCGCGAAAACTTTCGCGTCGTGTAACTGGGGACTTATGGTGAAGACTTTACATGGTGATGATAGCTTCCTTTAAATACATTCTATTGTATTTAGATTACGTTATAAGGAGACAAATTTATCCCTATTCTTATATGTTATTATCAATGAAGGTATTTTTAAACTTCTCAGGGCTCACCTGTTCAACAATAGATGCTAAGCGACCCAAAGCTAATCCATTACCATCTTCTCTGGTGATGACAGCGCTGCCAAGTTTCACTACAAGTCTTCTTGCGTATTTCAGCTGAGATCTGTCAGTGAACGTCTGCTGTTTCCGTTCAGCGCTCACCAGGTTGCGCTTCTCCGCATTAAAATTCTGTTAAGAAAACAATAAAATATCAGTGATGCACATTTATTTACCTTTAAATAGAGCTTAGAGTGGAGCGCGACTTATGAAAGCTCCGACATTATTAGCCTACGAACCCTAGGAAAAAATAAAGTAAGTACTTTTCTCCATGATTTTACTAACGGAACAGAGAGTTTACTTCAGTTCTCCGTCGGACTTCCGTCCGAAGCAATTACTGTGAAATTAAAGTCTGTTCCAATCCATTTCCAACAAAAAGTAAACAAAACTGTTTGGTAAAAATTCTAAAGCAATCACTCAATAAATCGAATAAGTAACACTTTCACGTATATTTCGGAGATTTCGACTTGGTATCTCATCACTTCTTCCAACAATATTTATTTGAATAGCATCGTAAAATTGTATTTGAAAATTGGTGGTCCAAAAGTGAGGTTATTTTTCATTAATTACTTGTCTATGGTTGCATAGTGCTATGCGAAAAAAACATTCGGTTCATTCAATTAAAGTTTTTTTAATCGATTAGTAAATCGAATATTTCAATCGCAATCGAACGAGTATCTAAGTTTAAGGATTTGAAGAAGGATTTAAAATTAACATTTCAGTAATTTTAAATACGCTTAATAGGTTATGTAGCGAAAACCGTTATTATGACTCAATTAAACAAATCGATTCATTCAATTAATTAATCTATTTGAAGTTGGTCTATGGTCGGGCCAGTGACATGTTTGTTTACATTTTGTTGAAAATGGATTGAAACGAAGTATAGTCTTAATTGTTGTGTAGTTCTCAATTGTTCCCAAGGGTTTAAGTCCTGATCATATGGGATATACTAATATTTTTAATGGATATTGTTGTTGTGCCTTGAAGAGCAACGACTTGATGTGTTATATAATATTACCATAAACTCTCTACAAACGTAGTAGCTTGTATGAGTGCACGCCTACCGCGCGCCGTGTACGGACACCTACATAATCTCGCGACGCTTACCATAACCTCTTAAAACAATATTACTTTAACCTTACATTGACTTTTTGCACCATGTCGCCCTTAAAGTAATCTTATTATAATGTTAAAACTATGTGGTTTTATATTACGCGACATTGACAATAAAGTAATATTGTTGTTATCGATTAACGACCCAAACAGGCGAGTTACACTACTCTTATAGTATGATATTACTCTAGACATTTACCAAGAATACGGCCATCACTGTTCTAAAGACGCATTGTTCTTCTAATTGCATGCTTTCATGTAATTTGTCCTGACTCTTGCAACGAAAGTGAGTAGGGAATCTGGTTCCGTAATAAAGATATCTCAAAAGTTAAATGTTTATGAACTCTTAAAAACAGTGTGGGAAACACTACCTCCTTTTCCGCTTTGACGCACATTTGTAGGTAAAAGATAAAAAGGCGCATAGAACGTCGACATTTCTTTGTACAAGTACGTCTTAAGTTTTAGTACTGCACTCATCAGCGCTAAAAGCTTTTGTAGAATGCGGTCAAAATAATAAAAAGTCGCCTTTTCATTATAAGACATCGCGGGAAAACTTTGCAGCTCCAAAGACGAGGTACTTTAATTTCGGTGCACGTAGGTACTCCATTTTCGAGAAGGTCGAAGTTTAAAAAAAACTGCCTTATTAGGTTTGAAAACAGATACTTTATGTTGACATTCACAAACTAAACAGACGGGTGCAAAAGTCCTTGTGCCGAAACCTGGTTTCTCAAAACTGAATAATGTGCAATCGCCACAATTATAATATCAGACAGACAGAATAGACTACTCTGCACGTTGTACTCTATACTTTTCACTCCTCGCTATCCAGAATACTTAAAATGTAAATTTCTATATCTCGGTGACTCTCACGCCCTTCCATTTCCAATTCACTTTCACTCACTGTACCTCTCTTTTATTCTGGCTTCATGTCTGAAATCCTTCACTCTCCAGTCGATACGTCTCTGAAATGCTCTCCCTGACTCCATCAGAAGGTCTCCCAGTCTTTCAAAAAGAATGTTCATGAGCGTCCTTTAAATTATTTGTCACAGTGATAACTATCATCATGTTCTGTTATTGTATGTATACGAATATATTAGGTTGTATGTATGAGTATGTTATACATACATATAAATATATTACTATAAGTTATTGTTAACGTTATATTTTGTTTAATCATAATTTAAATAATAATATATAATTTACTAATATAATAGTTTGCCGCGTTCGTGAATTTCGTTTTTCTTAAAGGTTGACTGGTAGAGAATGCTTTTAGCATTAAGTCCGCCTTTTGTACCATTATGTCTTGTGGTCAATAAAGTTTTATAAATAAATAAATATCAGTTACTTCACAACCCAAAAACACAAAGTGACGATGTTGTTAAGATCTTCCATCTATCGGTTCCATATTATCTTCTAATAATAAATTTATTTTTATTCATAGCTATAAGGAAATCGAACGTATCCATCAGCTCTAACTTTAACCTAGTATGAAACATAATTCATACTTTTCACATATAATTTATTTCCTTATGACTAAGTAGTTTTGATGTTTTTATTTTAATAGATTTATGTTTAAGGGAAATAAGGTAATTTATCTGGATCTTTGGGTCTCTGGAATGACGAGACCAAAGAATTAGTTATTTGGGTCAAAGGTTGTTAGAGCGATGCCACACGGGCGTTTCGTCGTCGCGCTATGATTTCAACGTACCTACTAGGTTACTTGCGCGCCGTTTCAACGCACCGTGTGGCATGTATAGTCTGTCTTTTTTGAAGACGGAGTAAAATGACAGTTCATTGCGCAAAAGTGTTGCCCGCTTGTGTAGTGATTGCAGTCGATAAATATTCTATCGACTATCGACTGAATATTGGTCACGCTTAATAAATAGCCGAATTTGGTTCATTCATCCAATTGCAGAGCACAAGTTCATTTGAATTGTCAATTTTTGTCAATTCATACATACGTACATTGTATTTAGAACTTGGTTTATGAAAACTACAAAGTGGAGACATATTTTAAAGACTTTGATTTTAAATCTATATTCTTGTTAAAATGTATGTGAATAAGAATTGATCTCTACTTTTATTCATATACATTTTAACAAAAATCGATACTAGAAGGCCAATTGTCAAAATAAGAACAAAAAAGGCAATTAATTAAACGCAATTAGTAATCATTAGAACGTCGTAACATTCACAATTCAGTTATTTTTGGCAAAATTTTATATTCTTTCACAATCTATCGATAACAACTACATTACTATTTAAAATTTTATGAAAACTGGCAACCATACAAATGTCATTTTACTCCGTCTTCAAAAAATACTGACTATAGTTCTTATTTATATGTATAAGAACTATAAGAACTATAGTAATATATATATATATATATAATAAGAACTATAGTCTGAGTTCATCGTAACCACGCAACGTCGTCGTCGCAACGCCAATGCAACGCATCCTGTGTCTTCGCTCTTCCTTGGAACTCATTCAAATCATGTAACGTATATGGTTTGGCGAAAGTTTATTAATTCATAGATTGATACCAAAATACTACTTAGGTTCTTATTTTATGCAACATAACATTATACGGAAAATACTGGACTGTATTCGCACTTTCCATCAGGCGCGGTGCAGTCATTTTGCCGAGTCACAATAAAATAAAAAAAAAATATGCTTAATGTAGGACAAAAGAAAACAAAAAATAGAAATTTCCGTTTGAATAACATCATTCGAGTTCATTTCAGCTTCCGGTTTAGAAATACGACAATATCTTTCCGTGAATGGCGCAGAAAGGGACTAAGACATTACGTATCGGAAATTACAGCACCGTGTCAATGTATGTAGGGGAGGAGCCCGGGAGAGTTGATCCCTTTTCATTCTAACAAGCAATACTGACTATATTTACAACCCATAGTAGCTATTTACTAAAAAGCATTAGTAAATTACTACTCTATTTTCCAGTGTTAAAGTCTTATGAAACGAGTAACGCGCCTCCACCATTTGTAAGGGTCGTAGCTGTGGGTTAGCGTAGCGAGAGGCACATTTCAATAAGAAACGAGGAAAATAATCATAAATAAAACTTTACTACGTGTATTCAAATCGAAGCTTTTTCTAGAACCACCAAGATATTCTTTTTTTACAATCCTATTTTTTTAAATATAATTCTAAAAGTCTATACGGTACGCTTTTAAAAAATACTCCTTTATTAGAGTGGTAGAAGAAAAAGATCTTTTAAAAAGATTCTCCCTAAAGTAATTTTATTACCGCCGTTGGCCGTAAATGTTAAGAGAGTTAAGCATATAGTTTACCAGTCGTTTCCTGTATTTTATGTACACGAAAAACACTTGTAATTATTAAATTCAATTGAATTTTAAATGTTTACATAAAATGTAAAAACAAACAAGACAGTTACAAAATTAATTTAGTCTATATTTGTAATATTATGTAAGGTTCATTGTTATTTAGAACATTAAAACTTAATACGTTGTAATGTTGTTTCATTGTGTAGAAATTTTCCTTTTTTTTTTGTTCAGTGTCGTGAATTTTACTTCTATGTACTGCTTTTTTGTAATCAATACCTATAATGAGAGTGAGGGATAGCTAGAAAGCGATTCAGTCTAAATACATAAGTACAAGAACCTCATGAAACAAAATTAATATTGTGTGAACGCACAAATTAAATTTCTGTTAGGTTCCGTACAGATCAGGCGAATGCGCCGCAAATGCGCCTCATTGCGAAAGGCTCGCGAGCTGCACACGTGCATTACATTGTGCGATCTATTCGCGCGTCAGATATATTAACATGTATTAATTGCAGATATAAGTTACCCCAACTTATATCTGTTATATGTATTAGCGTGCGAAAGAGTAATAAGTCTACTTTTGCGTACTGAAGCAACCGAGGAATTTTAGTGGTACGGATTGTAACGTAAATAAAACTTACGATACTTTTACAAAAAATTTTTTT